TTATTATTATTATTATTATTATTATTATTATTATTATTATTATTATTTATGTATCAAACGATGGTCTCCAAAGAATCGATTCTTAGACTGCGTTTTAAGCCTCCACAAAAGAAAAAGGAATTGATTCCAGCAAATTTATCAGAATTTATCAGAATTAAAAATGATTGATGGAATCTCTAAAAATTTATCAGAATTAATTTTGTAATTCTCTTTAAATATGCCAAACACAGCTTAAATAATAAGACCTTACTATTTACAAGTCAATGCTTTGAAAGGCTAGTTGTGTCGGTGTGAGCACATGGAATGTTTCCCTTTCTTTGCTATTTGAATGGCTTGTTGTCACTACCCCTGTATTTAGGGGTAGTGACAATTAGCCCCCTTGAACTTTGTTTTGTACTTTAGAAATTAGAAGAGTTAATTATTTTCACCATTTTAAAATTTGTTGTTCTCGGTCTTTATAATTTCAAATAGACAAATTGGTAATTTTACTTTGTCACCCCCATTAGTGGGTCAGGGGGCACAATAGTGTTAGAATCTAAAGTTTTAATGGGTCTTTGTCAGGAAACAAAGTTTAGGGGGTTAAGTGTAACCAACCCCTAAATACAGTGTGAATATCTGTAATTTAAATTTCATTTAATTTATTTATCCCAAAAATAGAGGTACAATCACCAAGGAAATTTAACTTTTAAAGTTTTAAAACAAATGCATATAATGGAGATAAAGAAAGAAATTGAGAAAAAAGCTCTTTAGCTTTTCATCCAGCTTTCTGGTTTTGTACACATTTATTTGATCTGCTTCTCAAATGGACTAGTATATATTGCTTCATGTTATAATAAGCATGCATATAGTCTTCTTCTTCTTCTTTGATGAAAAGAAGAAGTTAAAAAGTAAATGTTTCCACGGTTGTCAAGACTCAAGAGAATTCAGCTGAATTGCAGAGTATTTTGGTGACTCATTTGTTACAGAACAAACACCTATTCAGTTAATATATGAGGGTGATAAGAATCGAATAATAAATTACTTGACCAAACAGATTCTAATAGACTACTACCTTCTTATTAAACCGTTCAATTTTTTCTGGTAATCAATAGAGACTGGATCTGCTCCTCACCGAAGATGTTCCTAATGCACGGTGGATGTGTCTGTGAGGCGCCCCTGTGTGAAGAGCAGAACCCGTCACCCTAAAACTCTTCAACTTAAAAATGGTCGGGTAAGGTCCTTGGAAAAGGTTTTTATCTCTAACCCGTTACAAAAAAGAAAGTTTCTTTCTTGCCCATTTGAGGAGTTGATCTTGTTATGTCAATTTAACAGAAGCAACAAAGGATTAAGAGAAATTTGATCTCCACTCCAGGTTAGCGGCTCTGGATCGTACATGAAGCTCTAATTGAGCTCCAACTAAATAAATTGATGGATGCTAACATTCCATACGTAAAAATGTATCTCTCTCTGTACGTTTGCAGTTGGGGGTGGTTGCAAGCTGGACCCTGGAAGTGTACGACGTTTCATGCAATGTTGATGGAGGGAGTCTGAAGTACATGCATTCATGGCGATCAGTACACGGATCAAGTCAAGTAGTGGTCAATTTGATAGAAATTGAGGCAGAATCGTTTGGGTTGGAAGTGAACGCTATTAAGACTCATTTCTTAGATGATTAAGATAGCTAGCTACCAACTATATGTGTTGAATAATTATTTAACTTTCGTGCTTAATTTTTTTGAATACTTTTGCCTCTTGAGTAGGAATGATAACGGAAGTCGGTTTGGAGAGGGTTTTGTAAATTTTAGATTCTAGTCATTTCCCTAAACCTCTCAACTTGTACCTGCCCAAAACCCATAGTGGGTTGGATTTTGAGAATTTAAACCCTCCTTACATATGAAAGTATAAAACCTTCCTTGCATTCAAGGGTAGGGGTGGGTTGCGTTTAAAACCCACATCTAATTTCCTATTATTTCTTGTGATATATAAACAATAAATAAGTAAAATAACACAAACAAATATCAAGATTTCTAATTATTTGATTAAGACTTGTAAAAAACACATAAACTAACAATTATCTTTCACATAAAATTCAAAATATTATTAAATTCAACACCTAATGCATAAAGTTTATATGCTTTTCAACAATACGTGGGTTGGATTTAGCCTAATACTGTACCATATCCATATTTATATGGATTGTAGAATCCCAAAACCTGTATCCACCCCAAAATCCATCATTTTAACAAAATAAAAAAAAACCCGTCAGGAGGGTAGGGGCGGGTACCCACCGGGTAGGATAAAAATTGCCATCCCTACTCCTCAGCTGTCACCTGCCTAATTAATTAATTAATCTTGCTAATTAAAAACATGATCATTTCTCTCCATTTCGTTCTTTTTTTTTTATCACAACTCATGAATATAAGAAGATTCTTTTCCATGGAGTTCCCTCCAGCTCAAAGCCAAAACAGAAACAAAAGAATCGTGTGGGAGTTAAAAGAAAGAAAAAGAAAAGAAGAAAAGCATAAATCCTTTATAATCCACTTCTTTTTCTAATTAAGTCCTTTGGTATCTTTAACTAACTTTACTAAATGTTTCAACTTTCAAGCTCATTTCTCTTCTCTCCCCTCCCTGCCTCTTGTCCACTTTGCAAGTATTATAAAGGAAAGAAAAATAAATAGTAGAACGGTTGTCAATGTTCCTTTGGAAAAAGAATCCAGACCAAAGTGTGAATGTGTGAGACCCATCAATTCTGCAATAGCCGTTAATTAATGCCACTAGAAAGTAGAAAGTAGAATACCCGTAAATAAGATAAAAAGTAGATAAAGTAGATTTTAACTGTACACGGGTCAAGGCTTTAATTCATTTCATGCAAGCCCCAATCCACTTCTGTTTTATTTTTTGCCCCCCAATCCACTAATTGGGGCAAGTAGTAAGTTTGTGGGTCCCACTAAAAAAAAGAAAAATAAAAAGAAAATCTACATTCATGTTTTGGCATTAGTTGGTAACATGGAAAAGAATACGTGGATAAGTAATACACTAATACCATCCGGAGATTGAGATAAATTGCTTTTCCATTTACCTGGGAAATTGCTAATACATGATTGAATAACATTAATGCCACTTCTTCACTTTTTTAATAATGACATTTTTTTATGGATAAAACAATTATTGTATATTTATCTTTATCAGGAAAATAATACAATATTGATAAATTCACCCAACATATGTCAGAATAAATACATTTGCGTAAATAAATAATTTACTGTTTAACTAACAAGGCATTTCAGTGATCAGGAGGGCTAAATGTATACAACCAATTTATTTTTGCGTCCGGATTTATTCTTCAAAAAGCGCTCCTCATACCGATCTTATAATTTGTTCACGTTGCACATCGGATATATCTACCATATATTTATTATTCATGACAGATATTCACAATATTGGATGGGATGTTATTGAGTTATTGTGAAGTCGGTGTGAGGCGCGATCTATGAGTAGCAGATTCTAATTCGTTATTTTTATCATTTTAAAAGCTATGATCGAAGATACACGGTAGATAAATAACTATGGGTGATAAAAAGTAAAACAGATAGCGGTACACATAGTATTTTAATAAGAGAATGCAAGGAAGTGATTTCCACACATGACAGTGAGTGAAAAAAAAATTAAAACAAAAAAGTTTCCGAGAAAGCTGTATTATCTTATTATTAACCAGACTAAATATTGCTCAATAAGCCAAGGAGTTGTTGTATCCATCAATCCAAGTTTCAGGCATCCATTTTTAATCACTGAGTACGTTCTCTTATCTTATTATTCTGATTCGATTCCTGTACTCTTTTTATTTACGTAAACAAGTAAACTGAAATACATATAAAAATATAAATATAAAAAAAAAACAAGAAAAAAGGAAATCCGCGATTTTCTTTTGTCGGTTAAGGGCCCAGGAAACAGGTTTGGCCCGTGACATCCATTAATCCATTTGATTGATAATCTCTTGTGATTTTATGTTGAGGATCCAGAGACAGTTTTTATTTTACCCAAATTATTATTTTTTTATTTTCACCGGAACAAATGTACTGCAACATATCTTTTCTCTGTGCAGCGACACGGAGCTCATGTATTTCGTAACAAATCGAGATGCGCCTATCGATTTTCACTTTCCCTTTAATAACAGGGAGCGTTGTCGGTGTATGAGTGGATTCCCATTTACTCGCAATAAAATAATGTCCCGTCGAAGTCACTCAATGGAAGTAAATACAGGGAGTTCATGGGATGTACCACCATAGGACACGTGTACGACTCTTCTGGCCTCATAAATTGCCACCTGTCTAGTGTTTCAAGAATCAGAACCCACAAACATTTTAACTTGTAGAGAAATCAACTTTTTAATTCAAATCGAAAGGGAATAATATAAGTTAGGGTAACATTCCGTGAAAGCTGAAAGCTGAGCATTGGGCCAGCTGACAGATGTTTCAGATTAGAGAGCCCAATCGATGTCGGGTTCCAATGCTCCAGCACATGCAATTGCGAGAGGTGGCAACTTATCTTATGGGCCTCTCAGATCCATACACTGTTTTCGTGTCTCGGGTCCCATCTTCGGCCAATCGATTTTCCTTTCTTTTGCTATCTACAATCTAGTCGCTTTCGATTTTCCAATGGATCGGGCATTGGAATTTTCTGACGTGGGATTAAAATAAAATATCCCCTATTCTCTATTATCTTTTGATTTTTATTTGTTTTGGTTTAATCCCCTGTAAAAACAGAGTCTCTTGCAAATGTGTGGTTGGATGCTGGGAGTCGGCCACCTGTTGAGCTTGAAGGAGGAGGGCCCATTGGACATTGGTCTTTCAACATTATTACATGATTCTTAATTCGAAAGGCGAAAGCCATCCGCAGGTTGGGGGAAGAGGTAAACCGGTAAAGAACAGGCTTATTTTTTTTTTTTTTCTTTTTGGTGTTAAAACTTGAAAATAAAGAAAGAGTCAAAGAGAGAAGAAGAAAAGAAATAAATGGTTGGTTTCCTAAGTCGTAACGCCTAGTGAGTAGTGGCCAATGCTCTCTCAGTGCTGAAGTAGAGGCCAGCTAATGCTCTCGACATAGACCGCACACCAACTGATATTAATCTCCCTTCAACATATAAAACCCCTCAAACCCTTCCTTTTCTCTATATAATTTCATTCTCTCTCTCTCTCTCTCTCCTCCGCCATTCACTAAATCTTTGGTCTACAAGAAAATGGGCTACGGCAGGCTTGGATCATCTGAGTCTGTAGATTCGTTTCCAGAATCTTTCACCAGTCAACTAGGAGAAACCACATCCAGGCCACGAAGGAGGGGAAAGCACAAGCTCATTGCCCTCGCCCTCCTTTCACTCGTTCTAGTTGTCGCAGCAGTGGTGTCAGCTGGTTTCCTGCTTGGATTCCGAACCAAAGCCTCGAACGGGGCCGAATCGGCCATTCGGAAGAGACCCACTCAAGCCATCTCCCAGACCTGCAGCAGGACGCGGTACCGGAGTATATGTGTCAACTCGCTCCTCGATTTCCCCGGTGCTCTCAGCGCCAACGATCGAGACCTCGTTCACATCACCGTCAACATGACCCTCCAGCGAGTCGGGAAGGCCTTGTACGGCGTCTCGGAGATAGCTAATGTGGCAATGGATTCCCTCTCCCGGTCGGCCTACGAGGACTGTTTCGAGCTCTTGGAAGACTCCATGGATCAGCTCTCCCTCTCGTTGAACTCCATCGCGCCACCGGGGCAGCGCAGCGGGAAGCCAGTCGGAACCACCCAAGACGTGTTGACATGGCTGAGCGCAGCGCTGACGAATCAGGACACCTGCGTTGAGGGACTGAGCGGCGCGAATGGGTACGTGAGGAGCCAGATGGAGAACCGGCTGAAGGATCTGACGGAGCTGGTGAGCAATTGCCTGGCCATCTTCGCGTACTCGGGAGGGGACCAGGACTTCTCCGGTGTTCCCATACAGAACCGGCGGAGATTGATGGAAAGCAGTAGCGATTTTCAGATGGAGGATGGTATGCCGGCGTGGCTGACAAGGAGAGAGAGGAGGCTGCTGGAGATGCCGGTGTCATCGATTCAGGCAGACATTGTGGTGTCCAAAGACGGCAACGGAACGTATAAGAAGATATCTGATGCGATTAAGTCTGTTCCAGATTACAATAGTCGCCGCACTATTATCTACGTTAAGGCGGGAGTGTAAGTAGTAAACAAACAAACAAACTCTCTTTTTCCCACATTTTTCAAATTTCCATCATCAAATTACATAGACATCCCTACTTCGTAGTCCATCGGAAAATATCTGGGTCCTGCTGCAGCTGTGTGGGGAGTTATTGTCTCGCACTATTATTATCTGATTACCATACAAGTGTAGTGATTATGGGCTGTGTTGGGTCTGACAATTGGGCCTCTCCTTTTTTCAGCTACGAAGAGAAGAATCTGAAGGTTGGAAGGAAGAAGACCAACTTGATGTTTATTGGAGATGGCAAGAGTAAAACCATTATTACTGGCGGAAAAAACTTCTTCGACAACATTACCACCTTCCACACCGCATCCTTCGGTAATCCCTTCGCTCTCAAGTCTTTTACAAACTTTTTTTGTTTTTTTCATTTTCATTTTGCGGGAAAACTACGTAGACGGTAGATCACTAGATCAAAGTCATCAGGCCAAACGAGATATGATGATCTGACGACCGGCACCCACCCAATTATTCAGATGTCATTAACCGTACAATTATGTAATCTAGCGTTATTTTCGGTGATGTGAGAGTGGGCCCCCGAGAAAAACCAAGATCTGGTCTGTTTGATGATCGTTGTGATATATAATTATAGATAACGATCATGATCGTAGATTTATACCTTATGTTTTTGCAAAACTGACTAAATTTTTCAACGTATCTTGAAACAGCGGCGTCAGGGGCTGGATTTATCGCAAGAGACATCACGTTCGAGAACTATGCGGGTCCCGCCAAGCACCAAGCGGTGGCTCTCCGCGTGGGGGCCGACCACGCGGTTGTGTACCGGTGCAACGTTATCGGATACCAAGACAGCCTTTACGTACACTCCCAACGCCAATTCTACCGTGAGTGTGACATCTACGGTACCGTAGATTTTATATTCGGCAATGCTGCCGTGGTGATCCAGAACTGCAGCCTCTACGCCCGCAAGCCCATGGATATGCAAAAGAACACCATCACGGCCCAGAACCGAAAGGACCCCTACCAGAACACTGGGATCTCCATCCACAACTCACGCGTGCTGGCCACACCGGATCTCCAATCATCCAAGGCCAATTTCTCGACGTATCTGGGCCGTCCGTGGAAGTTGTATTCTAGGACTGTGTACATGCAATCTTACATTGGGGATCACGTGCACGCACGTGGGTGGTTGGAGTGGAACGCCACGTTTGCGCTGGACACGCTGTACTACGGAGAGTATATGAATTACGGACCCGGTGCGGCCGTCGGGCAACGAGTTCAATGGCCCGGTTACCGAGTCATCACGTCGCCTGTGGAGGCCAGCAAGTTCACGGTTGCCGAATTTATATCTGGATCCTCTTGGCTACCGTCCACCGGGGTAGCTTTTCTTGCAGGTCTTTCAGTTTAATTATGTTTTTTTTTTTAAATATATTTTATATGATATATAGGTCATAACAACACTCTTAGCAGGGTGGGAGTTCCCTCTTTTTTTTCCTTTGTAGGATTATTATTTTTTTAAATTTTTTTACATAAAATTTGTAAGATGAATAATTCTTCCGGTAAACGTACCGGTCTTTGTTAATTTGACTGGATAAAAAGGAAATTTGTATATTTTCTTTATCCTATAATTTTAAGATTTTTTTTTTCATTAAATGAGAAATGGAACAAGGAATAGATGCAACTATTGAAAACATGGGCCACCTTGTGTGGAGAGCGGGTATCCAAGGAGTTGCATGAATTCATTAATTTACTGGGCTCTGAGTTCTGAGTTCTGACTCCTATAAGTGAAATCATGTGCTTGTGAGGAATGAGTGAAGAGAGGTGTCGGTGGCGTAGAAGATGGAATAAATAAGGAGACCTATTATACATACCAACAACCAATGTTGGCAAAAACAAAAGCATATGGTTGGGTGGGGTATAATTCCCCTCCCCCGGAGGAATCAGATCATCCAAACCTGGACAAATTTGATTCGTGGTTCAATTACAATTACAAAATTTACAACTACTCCGGTTGTCATTAATGTTGAAGCTGGGCAGTGGAAGTTTAGTGTTGATTACTTTGGATTTATTCAAAGGTGTGAGAAAAGATACAATTGATGTCAAAATTAGAAAACAATTAATAATGGAGTGAGTTATTCGTCCATCATTCCAGGTCGGGGGGGAAAGGTCCAATTTGAAGCATCATCATTCATCAGAGGTGGTGCAGCCTAAGAAGGAAAGATCCGTAATGGCTTGTTCCTTAAGTATGAATGCATGAAGGGAAGAACAAAAAAGAGGACCACTCGTTTCCGAGTGGGCCCAACTGCAACCAAGCATGTGCTGGATGCCTTTTGTCTACTCTGGTTGCAACTTGAGACGGTATCTGAAACCCACATTATATGAGAAAGTGCATTATTTGATTGACAACAAATAATATATTGATGAATCAATTATTTTATAATAATAATAATAATAATAATAATAATAATAATAATAATAATAATAATAATATATTGATGAATCAATTATTTTTTGGTTAAATACCTTATGGGGGCAGATTAGGTGCTGAGCTGACTGAGCTGAGTTGGGCAGGTTAGGTGTTGAACTGACTAGGCCGAGCTGAGTAGGTTAGGTGTCGAACTGACTGGGCCGAGCTGGGAAAGTTAGGTGCCGAACTGACTGGGCCGAGCTGGGCAAGTTAGGTGCCGAACTGACTGGGCCGAGCTGCATATTAGGTGACGAGTTGACCTGAGAGCCGAGTTGCCTATTAGGTGCTGAGCTTCCTATTATGTGCCGAGCTGACCAGAGGGCCAAGTTGACTAGAGTGCCGAGCTGCCTATTAGGTGCTAAGCTGGGGGCAGATTAGGTGGCGAGCTGACCAGGTCGAGCTGGATTGATTGTTGAGCTTTGTAATTCTTTAGAGACCTGCAAGGAATCAATGTCAGAGGACCCTGGGTGGCTAACCCGGTGAGGTCGCTCCAATGCTTAAGTCAGTACTCTCATAGTAGACTGCAAGCTAAAAATCATAAAGTATGAGAGCTAGAATATGCTTATTTGCCCTCCCCATGCCATTGGGGTTGGTGCCTTTATATAGGCATTGTCTGGCGGGGGCTTCACGTACCGTATCCGAGATTTTTGAGATGTTGCCTAAGTGGTCCGAGATTCCCGGACGCAATCGCCATGCATGTTGACCATCCTCCGGAACGTTCAATATGTGGGCCAACTTCCAAGGATTGTGGGAGTGTTGGGATATGCGTGCCGAATTTGTCGGCGAGCACGTCTCGTAGGTCGCCAGGTCGGCGCCTGTGCCAGGTCGCTAGGCCGATGCCTGTACCAAGTTGCCAGTTCGGCGCCTATGCCAGGTCACCAGGTCGGCGCCTGTGCCAGGATGCCAGTTCGGCGCCTGTGCTAGGTTGCCAAGTCGGCGCTTGTGCCAGGTTGCCAGTTCGGCGCCTGTGCCAGGTTGCCAGTTCGGCGCCTGTGCCAGGTTGCCAACTGGGACATCATCATCTTGGTTAAGACAAGTTGTTGCCTAAGTTGCTCCGGATGTCACCTATTTGTTCCGAGATGCCATGTATCACAATGTCATTGGAGGGGCAAATCTACCCTCATCATATATTATTATTATTATTAAAATTCATGGAGATTTAAAAAAGATAATGCACGATGCTGAAGATACAGGGTCCAGACCCATGCAGATGGCATGCCGTGGGGGATATAGGCCGCATATTTGTTCTCTTGTTTTCCGTTTCCCTAACCAGCTTTGGTAAGACGCAGGAAACCAATATAACCAGGGGGCATGGCGTTCTCGTTACTCGTTAGAACTGAAGTAAAGCTAAACTGAAGCATTTTAGTGCCCGGGATCGAAATTATGCAGATTATACCCACAGGATAAGAAGCTAAATTATTTCTAGGATAGACAGCAGCACTACCCAATACCCACAGGAAGGACTGAAGCTAAAAGCTAAAGCAATTACCGCCGGGGGTGTGGGCGGGACATTCACATGCACCCAAAAAAATAAATAGCTAAATTAAAGCAGTTACGAAACGATTTATGCACGGGATACGGCACTACACGTAGGGTGCTTACGGTTCGATTAATCGAATCATGGGCATTATTCTGAAATCCAATAGGTGCTATCGGTTTTTGTGTTTGTCTAAATCGAAACAGAATGGGTAGCACCAATTAATCGATTGACCGGTTCAGTTTTTATATTTATAATATATATTATATTACGAATAATAAATGATATATAATAAATATAAATTTATAATTATAAATATAATATATACATAATATCATAACATCTAATTGGCTATCATGATACTGGTCAGAAGTTTTTCAGATATCATATATTTCCATATCATAGTCAAACCCATACCATCAGTTTGGTTAACCACTAGGTTTTTTAGGTTAATAGAAAATTGAATCGATTCTTCGATTTTTCAAAAATATCGATCAATCAATTTGATTAACTGCATTTTATGGTTCAATTTTTTTTGACTCGGTTCAGTTTTTTGGTTTTTGATGAACACCCCTAACTACACCACTCCTCAAAGCCTGAAATACAAATGCTGCCCACACCCATCTATCCAGGGCTTGGATCTACCCACAAGTTGTGGATTGGAAATGTTTGTCCTGTCATTGATGGAGAAATGTTCCCAATATATTGCGGTGGAAACAATTTACAATTGAGCTATCTGAGATCACATCTGCGGCTCACAAGGGGTCATTCCACTGCACATCCCCACTGTGTATTGAAAACATTTCCCAATGACAATTCCAGAATCGATCATCATCAGAAGATATTCTCAATAAGCAGCAAGGATGTATGTTTGTCCTGTCATTGATGGAGAAATGTTCCCAATATATTGCGGTGGAAACAATTTACAATTGCGCTATCTGAGATCACATCTGCGGCTCACAAGGGCCATTCCACTACACATCCCCACTATGTATTGAAAACATTTCCCAATGACAATTCCAGAATCGATGATATCATCATCAGAAGATATTCTCAATAAGCAGCAAGGATGTGATGTGGGGCATTGTGGGGCGGCCCCTTGTGAGGGGAGATGTGAACTCGAGCTATCCATAGGCATAAAATTGCATAGCTTCTGTCTATGCCAAGCATAAATGCAGTAAACCCAAGGTTTTTGTCACCTATGGGCTAGGCACGAGTTCAGATTTATCAATGCCCACAACACTGTCCCAATTAACTACGACAGTTGTACATCGGGAATATTAATTTCTCTATGAATGATAAGGGGGATATTCCTAATGTATGGCTAATTGGCTGCAGTGGTCTGTTGGAACAGTATTGAAAACATTTTATTGCTAGCAGATCCCTATCGCCACGGTCCTGGGCCTGGTTTTCCATGCCCTAATCTGTCTGTCTTATGTCTTTATCAGTAAACACAGCCTGCCTCTCCTCTCATGTGCACATGCAGCCTAAGTGGTTTATGGTAATGGATTGGACCCTTTCTCACTCATTGACCTCTTCTTTTTTCTTTTTTTTTTCTCTCTCAAGTGAGCGACGGAGCGAGACACCTTGCACGTCTGCAATACTTTGATGGGCTCGTTACTGGCACACATGGGCTGGCCCAGCTTACCAACCAATTGTTAGTGGCGGCTACTTGTTCATCCTGAATTCGGCTTCGGTCCGGGGCAAGGTCCGTTCGAGTATCATTTACAGCCTTGTATTAAGAATATTTCTTTACTTATTTGCTTTATTTCATGAGGAAATATTTTGAATGCAAAGTTATAAAAATAGTTGGAACGGCGTAGGCACGGGTTTGCCCTGACAGAAGCCGATCTTGTTCATTCTGGCCTCATCTTTAAGTTCCGTTCCTATTTCAATACTATTTAATTCATATCGGTTACTACCTTGGCAACTTGGGGTGCCGTCCAATCTCTTTCTGTCTTCGGATGGGCTAAAATAAAGGCCCAAGTTGTGTTTCAAATATATAGTGGAAGAGGGCTAATATATATAAGGTTATTGATGAAGGAAGATTTGGCCCGACCTTATAATCACTCAATACGTGACAGAGGCAACAGCTCGGCACAACAGCACACCCAAGGCACGAGCTTCGAAAGGAGAAACCAGCGGTCCGAACTCCCCGCAAGGAGCCAGAGCTCCCCCTTAGGCCCCGAGCCTTACGAGCACAAAGGGCCACAACCCGAACTGGCCTACCCCATGGCAGCTCGGGACATGCCTCTATCCGAACTCAAGACTTCACCTCGCTTACCACTCCAGCACTTCGCCCCTAGGACACCGAACTGAACAACCGTACCATGTCTAACACCGAAGGAGTC